AACCACAATACTCCAATGCCACCTCCCCCATAGCTTGTGGTCTAGTAAACTCCCCCTCCTTTTCCTGTGAATGTCAGAGTCGCCTCTTTCTATACATAAGCCTCACGGCAATGATCGGCATAATGGCCGTATTTCTCACACTTAAAACAGATTAAATGGAGCTCTTCATATTCAACCTTCTTTTCCTTCGTGTTCACTAAAATACACAATTGCAATGGTTTATTGAGATCCAACTGAACACAAATTCGAGCGAAATGCCCCTTAGCCTGCCTTATAGTATTCCTATCAAGTTTCAAGACCCTCCAATTTGGTTTCCAACTACGTACAAAATCCCTGGATCATAGTAGTCCAAAGGTGGCTTTGAAATCCGAACCCAAGCGGCAATGCTAGAGATCTCTTCCTCATCAGGATTGAAATCCTCTTTCCATGGTTGTACATTAATATAGTGATCATGAATTAACCACGGTCCTCCCATTAGTACCACATCATACGTTTCCTTCTTTTGCATTCAACTAAACAAAAACCAGATCCGATATCAATGGGGTTCATATCATCCCATAATTGTTCCAGCTTGGCTTTGAGAAAATCCCCTCTCACCATTCTTCCCAACACATTAACAATAAGATACTTCCTCCATCTTCTTGCTAAGCGCGCTTTAAACTCGGGCAATAATATAATATTAGGACCCTTGGGAGTTTGCTCCACTCTGATACGAGACTTCCATCTATCCTCACTCCACCAATCCCCATTGTCCTCCATAGAATCATCATCTGAGCCACCTCTTCATTGGTACAAGCTTGCCTGTACGTCTTGCGAGTCCCATCCCTCTGATTAACACCAACCCCTCCTTCTCGGTCATTAAACTCTCCCCCTCTATCATCTGATCCTCCATCCTCGATATCACAACACGATCATTGGACGCTTGTCCGTCCCCTGTTTGAACGTTCTTACAACTTCGTTTCAAAACATCAGCTTCTTCTGACGTCGGAGTCACAACTTGCCCTTCACCGCCCTTCATTATATAGATATTTTTTAATTCTATATAATATTTTACTTATAACTAATATGTTAGATATATGATATCATTTTTTTGTATATTTTGTTAATTTTTTTTAGTGTACTATATAACTGTACATAAGTTGTTTGATCAAATAAATATACATAATTATCATCAATGATCTTTTGTAAGTAATAAAACTATTTTAAAAAGTTATTTATGCTATTAGGTTAAATTTATTGTATTTGTAGTTTTTTATATTGATATTAAGTGTAGATTATAAAATAAAAAAATAAATCTCCAAACTAAATGTTGTTCTTCTTAAAAAATATGACGTTTTAACTTATATAAAATTAAAAATTAAAATTTTGTTCTTCTTAGATTATGTACCAATATGACATTCTAGGGAGACTTTTTTTTTGTTGAAATTACATATTAATGTATCATCATTTTTAACTATATCTAAATGATGCTGTTTTTTTTTTTTTTTTTCCTTTTCTTCAGGGGAAAAGTCATCACAATCAAAGATAATGGTGAAGCAACGGACATACCTTTTAGGTGATAGCATTATTATTAGCATATATAAATGATATCATTCTGTCGTATTATTCTATCAATAAATTCAGTTAATTGTTTGTTCCTAACCCTAAACAAATTGACTTATAAATTGACCAAAGATGAAGTAAATCAAATAATGATTATCAGTAACAAGTCATATACAGTAGGGTTGCTAATGAGAATTGATATGTGTAACTTGCATTAATTCCATATACATGAATTTGAAAAATATGGTAAATATTAGGAAAAATTTTCTGTTTAGGATCAAATGCTAAACACATTTTGTTAGACAGGAACTAACCCAAAAAAGGGTGAATTAAGTGATTATAAAAATCTTAACTTTAAACAAAGGAACAAACTTTATTCACGAAGATAGAGTAATAGAATTAGAGAGATATTATCGGAGGTTCTTGAGAAGAAGACGAACACATAACAATTTACACTACTACAAAAAAAACATTTAACAGCAGTTAAAATGAGCTTTTTACGGTGGTTTTGAGACTGGCATTTATGCCATCGACCCAAAATGTAGAGGATTTCACGGTGCTATAAGAACCGCTGTGGTATGTGACTTTTCACGGCGGTTATATAAATAACCACCCTGAAATTTTTTTTTTAGTTTACATTTCACCCTACTGATCAGGATGAAATGGGAGAACAAAGCCTCAAGGAAAGTCTCTCACCAGTTAAAAGCATTCTGATGGAGCAAACATAGATTCTTTCTCACCGTAATAGCGTCACTTAGCTTCACTTTTAGTCACCAGATCGAAGCCACTAAGATTTAATAACGATAAAATCAAAGACTTAGATATGATAAAATCAAAGACTCAGATGTGCTAAAAATCAGATCTCTTTAAACTCAGATCAAACATCATATTTTTAACCAAAGAAAATAATCATATCAAACCAAAAAAGCTATGAAATCCATAGAAAGAATGGAGGTGAAAAACTCACAAATAAGAATGAAGACGATGAGGCGATGGCGACGGCAACAGCGACAGCAACGGTGATGGAAGAACATGGCGGAAATGATAGAAGCAATGGATAAATGCTGACAAATGTAGGAGGAGGGAGAAAATCGAGTGAAGATGGTATGAGGGACTATGAGCTCTGACTCTGAAAAGTGAAAACTATCGCGTGATGGATTTTAAAATTCTAATAGACTTTTTATGGCGGTTATTTAAAAAACCGCCGTTAAAAGTATTTTTTATGGCGGTTTTTAAGTTTAAAAGTACGCCTATAATTACAGAAATGCTACCGTCATATTTTTTACAATGTTTTTTCTAATAACCACTGTAAATTAGCATCGTGAAAACTCCTTTTTGTAGTAGTGTTATATTCATTTGATTCAACCTGACTTACTTCTAGTCTTATGCCTCTTGAGAATTTTACTATAAATTTGAACATACTTTGATAACTGGGTAACCTACATATAATTCCATGAACTTAATACATGAATTCAAAAAATATGATAAATATTTTGGAAATTTTCTCTTTAGGACCAAATGGTAAGGATATTTTGTATGAATTAAAGAATGGTAAGCATATTTTGCATTAATTAAGAGATCTTAAAAAGTTTCAAGTGGCTTTCCTCATTTTGCAAGTTTTCTTGATTTTAATATATCTTGCGTAGCTTTTTAGGATCTTCTATATCTTAGAGCTTAAACGCAAAAAAAAAATTTGGCCAACAAAGTATGATATATCTAGATTATTGCCTTGTGAAGAATTTCGAGTTATAAAAAGGATTGAGCTAATAGAGGTAATGGCTGATAATTTTCCAGAAGGCTCCATACGTACTGGCTCTGAAGTAATTTCTGTTCAATTGGATCCTTTAACTAACAACCCTCAACTTATGCTCAGCAATGGAAATGTTCTTCAAGCCAAGGTACACGTATTTGCAATTTGACTTATTTGTATATTGGAGATGATTCTTTCCTCTTTTCTTTTCACTCTCTCATTTTATTTTTTTTTAATCATAAGATTAATATTTAAATGGTTGGTATTTAATTTTTATAAAAACATATATTTTTTAATTTCGTATATTTTTAATTTAATATTTAAATCATTATTTTGTTAAAAAAATCACATATAAATCATTTAAATGTTAATCTAACAGCTTTAAAAGAAATAAAGGAGCGATGAAAAGGGAAAAAGGAAAAAATCTCACTTGTATATATTTTCTTCAATCCAAGGTACAAATATTTATTATTAATATTTCACTGATAGTCATTCAGACAATGGATAATCTATTTCCGCCTATAATATTTCTCTTCCCCCTAATTTCCCATTCATCCAAACACAAGGTTAGAAATTTGGTTGAAAAATTAAAGATCTCATAAAATAATTTTAAAAATTAATGATTCTTTAAAATAATTAATTTCCTTCCATCGTCCTCTCTCTACCAGGTAACCCACTTCTTCCCACTCCAATACATACTTCTATCTCTGATGTTTAATATAAAAGCTAGTTAGGGAATAGATTTGATTCTCCAATCCACTTTGTCACTCATCTTTCCCTAAAATATATCTATTGATTGCAAGGGATTCCTACCAAAGGATCATTCTAATCATCCAATGCATATGATTGAAGAGTATAGTTTAGGGATATCAATACACACTTGTGACAAATAACCAACTTAACTAATTTTTTTAATATCTTTAAATTAGTTATTTAGCTTTTATTTTAAAGGTTGAAGGTAGTATCTCGCTAAGGTAAGTAATTGGAGATTAGCTAGCATTCTCTCTACATAAGTGATATACTAGTATATGGGCTACAATTATCAACAGTTTCAATACTTGAAACATTAATATTAATGAATTAATATGATGTCTGTTCATATATATATATAGAGAGAGAGAGAGAGAGAGAGCGAGAGAGAGAGAGAGAGCTTGTTGTTGGATGTGGTGGAGTGAACTCAATAGTAGCAAATATTGTGAAGTCGTCAGAATCAAGAGGTGTATTCAGCACCTGTGCAGCAAGAGGCGTTACGAACGCAAATGGCCATCAATTTGCGAGCGAGTTTGTTACTTCGTTCAGAGATGAAGTCCAGCTTGGAAGAATTCCTTTCACAGACCACCTCGTTTACTGGTTTGTCACAAGATCTCGTTCACAACAAGGTCATTATTTTCATCTCTCGCTTCCGACAATTTGAAGTTCTGTGTGTGTATATAATATTAATTACTACTAGTTAGGATTATTTAATAATTATTCATCATTTTCTACGAATTATCCCATGATATTAAATCTCAAACTAGGTCGATCATCTAGTCAAACCAATGAACCAACATCCCGATTCGATCAGGAGTTTTGGATGGGGTGATTGAATTGAATTTTATATATTTTTTTCCTCCTCTTACTAAGAAACGATGTCATTTTGAGTTGCAAAAATATAGCAATCTATCAATTTATGCTTTTTTTGTTGTTGATAAACTGGGAAAGCAGGAGACTAAATAAAATAAAACTCAGTCCCCTGGGACAGAAGTCCTGATTCGTGAGAGTCCGGATGAAGTAGAAGAAGGCCAGTACTTCCTTCAAGGGCTCTCTTAGCGAGGATGTCTGCTAATGTGTTTTGCTCACGTTGAATATAGCGAAGCTCCACTCTCCAATCACGTTTAATCATCTCTTGAACTTCCTTAATCAGCATGTAGTCTTCACGCAGGTCTGGGGGTTTATTATGCAGCAAATTCAGAGCTTCTTGTGAGTCGCTTCGAAGGAGAATATTCCTATAGCTTTTGTCCCAAACTCTTTTGAGACCCATTATGCATGCCCATAACTCAGCAGTTAGTGCATCCCTTGATTCAAGTTTGAGTTGAAAACCTTCAAGAATATTGCCATGAATACCTTTAATGATACCACCACAAGCCGCAGCCTTACTGAGACAAGAAAAGGCTCCGTCAACTTCAACCCAGCTGTTGAACTCCATTTCTGGGGGTGTGGGTGTTCGTAGGTGCAGTATTTGGGAATAGAATAGCTCCGTTGAGCTTCCTTTGAGCCGCAATGGTGCTGTTCAGAATTGTAGACGCTCTAGCGTTAACAGCCTCCATAATTAATGGTAAATAAACATTTTCAGAGTGATAATTAATTTTTTAAAGATCAATAAATAAAAAAGAATTAACCAAAAACATTTAAGTAATAGCTATGGTAGGAAGAATAAAACCAATCAAATAGAAATCTACCATAATAAAAAACAATCAATAACAATCAATATCTTTAACAGAGTAGTAGCTACTGTTCTAGAATCGTAAAGATAGATAATCAAATAAGAAAGGGTCTAACACTTGATTTTTCATGTATGTATCAAATCTACCAACAATACTTTGGAATCTCAAAATACAATTAAGACCAGTTGTAAATGGGCTAGGGTCTTTGAAGCTCATTAGAATAACAATCACTACTGCCCATAACAATTACAACCAAACTAAAAGTCACACGTGTCAAAAAGGGCTCCGCCCAACAGCACAATTCCAGAATATAGCGGAAAAGTTAAAATTATGTCAAGTATAACAAAAAGGCCCTAAAGTTTGGTAATATAGATCAATCAAATCATGTATACCAAAACAGAGGCTATATAGAGTGGAAAGGAAAACTCAAGCCTCGAACAACTTCCCTTGGGGATGAACACCTGAACCCTCGCCTGAAAAAAATATTAAATAACCATGGGGTGAGTCAAATTGACCCAGTAACCATAATTCCAATTCAACAAGTATACATGGAGTTATTACAAGATAGTTAAGTAGGCAAAGTATAATTTCAAATAACATATAGGGTAAACATCTTTACGGAAAATAATATATAGTAATTCAAAAAGTAACTTGCATGCACGGAACTTCATCAACCATCCTTATAACCTTCTTATAACCTCTGACAGAACCCATGGTCTATTCACACATCATAGGATTCGTCTCTTTTGCAAGACTGCACCAAACTCTCCAATAATGAGGTGTGACTTGGCCAAAAGTTACAGAGCTCATATCGGACCATGGGTTCCCTTTCCTTGGAATATGGAAAGGTGTCATGTCCCTTGGACTGACCCTTGACTCGACCAAAGAAAGGGTGATACCAAGGGCCCTATGAATGTTAAAGCTAGCCACTGGGTGCCAAGTAATGGCTATACCACGTGGTATAAATAATCAAATCTCCCACAATTACATTTCAACACAACCCAATACAACTCCATAAACATTCCAACCATCCAATTCCGCATAATCCAATATTCATAAAGCATCCTCAAATTCAATAATCAAATTTTTGTTCAACATCAACAGGATATTCACAAGATAAAATAATTCATGCCCACTTAACTGATAAATTTATCAAAACATAAATTTTCATATATATATATATATTTTATTTTTTATACATAAATCACCATAACATATAATAATAACATCTATAATATCAAAACATGCATATAATCACATCAACAAGCATACAAGGTAAATTAGAAAGTGGTTACCTCAAGTTTTTTGACACGCACTACCAAAAAAAAGGCTTTTAACAGCAATTATTAAGGGTTTTTAACAATGAAGGCGCAATGGATACAATTGACGTTGAAAGGTAAATAAAATACGGCGGTTCTGATAAAAACCACCATGCAAGATCAAATTTCCATGGCGGTTATTAATAAAACTGCCGTGGAAAATTCATTTTCCACAGTGGTTTTTAAAGTAACCGTAGTGGAAATTCAATTTTCCACAGCAGTTTTTGGAAGAACCGCCGTGGTAAATATTTTTAACGGTTGTTATTTAAATAACAGCCGTTAAAAGTGTAATTTTTTTTAATAATATTTTGTTTACTTTTTTTTGGCTCCCTGCAGTTTACAATTCCAAATAAATGCAGACAGTGCAGAATATAAATACAAAACTATTTCAAGATGACTATATAACTAGCTGGTTAATACATACATTGCAGTAAGCATTGAAATTTCTTTTAACATAGGCACAAAGAGCTTACAAGGGGTCGAATCTATCTAGGCAGGATAGAAACCAATCCTATAACTACAAGATGATACCTTAGCTTGCTACTTCTCCTAACAACAAGTAAAGGCATAATTCAAAGAATAGTAACAAGCTAAGCTAATTATGTCTGCACAATAGAACTAAGGAACATGTATAGGGGGAACTAAGAGAAAAAAATCTAACGATGAATTTTTTGAGGAATGATCTAACTATTTCAAATTTTCAAAACTCTATAGAAATGTTGTTACAAAGTATCTCTCGTCAAGTTGATTTCTTCCATTTGATATGGCGTAACATTTTGAAATACCTATAAATAAAAAATAACATAGTCAACTTAATCAAAAATGTGAAAAGAACTGAAGAATTACATGTGACGTAACTTATCTTTACCTTATCTAATTTCTCAGTCACTCATGTCTCAATGATGTCATTCATGTAGCAGATGACATAATATCCACATTCAACACTCTTGTTGACAACGATACTAACAAAATGAAATATAAAATTGAATATTAGACTTTAATTATAAACATTAACTTTAATTATTGAAAAAGATTTAACAGTATATATTTAGCTCAAAACAACATACTTTTGGGAGAATCTATGTTGGTGGTTGTCTATTTTGCTTCTTCACCACAACATTGAAACTATGAAAAGCCTTATCAACAATAAAATTTAATGATGTTAGAGCATATTTTTATAAACTTCACTCGTAATAAATATATAAACAAAAACTAACGTGTCGATGACATCTTTGGTTTCTTCGGATGGACTTCCATAGAGGGAATCGAACCAGTAGACTTTGTTATCAAAAAGGGCACCAACAATTAGGGTCCAATGATAACTGCAAAATACAAACCATGTTAATTATAATCCTATACATACAACTTGTGTATCTCAAATACAATAGTATACTTACCCTTCCATGTAAGGTGCAAAATATATTTGCTTTCTTGTCTGAGTCATTGTAGTCATCATGTAGATCGGCCTCGCTTCCATAGTATTGACTATTTTCTGCACCCTTTACAGACACATAAAGTCATATGTTCCTTTAAGTCCTCTTTGTCGACAGATTTGAGTAAAATGCCTGTTGTTCAAATAAGAAACATTAGGACATGTATAAGTATAACATGAATTAAGAAAATGATATTGTAACTTACAAAATAGCCAGCTGCATAAGGACTATATCCAGCTCCTTAAAGTTGAGGAACTGAACGAGGTCCTTCTTGTCAATAGTGAAGTTGTATGTTATATTTGAACCCACAATCCCTAGCAGCATTTTGCAAGTAACGGGCTTATCCATGTTTGGCACTATGGAATGAAGAACCTCCAAACTAGAATACATAAGGGTAAGATCACCAGGAAGAGGCAGAAGTACAGGATCTGATGATGCGCTCTTCGCTGTGGCCTTCTTCGCTGTCACCTTTTTCGTCAATGGCTTTGTAATAAGTTTCTTTGGCCATAAAATGAAATGTCCTTTAGCCTAAGCCAATAGTTGAACCTCATCAGTAGGGTTGGGTATTGGTGTACCACCATGACCATGAAGAATCCTATCCACCGTCAGCCTTGCTTGATCCTTTGGAACTTTCATGCCATGGATCATTGTGCCCAAGAATGCTCGACCATTAGTGACATGAACAGCTAAATCTCCAAAGTCCACATAAAGAGCACACGGCATTCTATCATCTTTGACAGGGTTATGGCTACGGTCAAGGTTAGACACTGTCAGTTGCTGTATCTAATTATTACTACGCTTCCCACTTTTTATCATAAGTGAACCCTAAAACATAATATGAAATTAGTTAAGGCACATTAAATAAGTTTAAATGGATCAAATGAACCTTTAGAAGATTTGAAAATATGTATGATTATTACCTGGGAAGGTTCAGATACTCGGGGCATCTGGAATCCGGTCGTGCCCATCATCATCATAGCCTATTGAAACTTAACGTCGAACTCCTCACGTATCTTTTGCATCTCTGTCTTGTGTTGTTCACTGAGTTCAGCTCGAACTCTCTCTCTTTCTTCATGTAATCATTGGTCGAGTTCCTCTTTAGATACCATGTTAGCAAAGAATGATCCAGTGCTTCTTTATGAACCAGCGCCAAAAAATTATTTAATACTAATCCTTTTAGGGGCCCCTCTCACTCTACCAAGATGGTCAGCCTTTCCAATAACAGTGGCTAAGATATCCATCTGTCCTTGAGGGATGAATGTACCTTAGGATAATTGCTTCTCAAGTGTATTTTGTAACATTAAAGCAAGAAATTCAATTTAAGATAATTAAAAAAATCAATTTGAAGCATAATGTATAAATATTACTTACAATCCTCTCAGCAACATCAGTAGACTCTAGAGTAATGTATTGACCCTTTTTAATCCTCATCACCTTCTATATTTCTTAGCGAGAAGGATGCTCAATGGCTGAAATGTAGCCAGTAGGATCTGAAGCAGCTACCATCTATGCATTCTCCATCTGCTCCTCCATCATGCTTCTTTCCAACCCACCATACTCTTCACGAGACATGGTATGTGGGTACACATTCTGCTCATATATTTACTTGTTCTTCTGATTCAATGCTTATGACAATGAAACAAATTCAACAAAGTTAGTTTAGTTAAATAAAAGATGAACTGATTAAAAACTAAGTTTGAAGAAACCAAACCTGAAATGCAAGGTCTTTATGTTCCTTCACAAAACTCTCTCATACCTCATTGCTAATAAACTGGTATCATTCCTTAGGATGCTCAACCTTTCTTTTTCCACGAATATAGTGCTTTGTAAGCATGGATTTAAAATCCGTCTATCGTTCATCAAGTTGTTTAAACAGACGGTCTCTCATTTGCTTAGTGGCGGGAATATCAAATGCCAACTGCAATACAATAGCATAGGGTAAAAAGTAAATAAGCAATTATAATTGAAACAAATAGATAAAAGAATTCGTAATGTACCAAAATATCCTCC